ATCTTCCAGGCAGCCACTGGGAATCAGAGGAACACGGAAAATGTTCTCCCAGTCGGAGGAGTCTGCTTTGATGATAAGGTTCAGATCATCTCCCTCGTGCGGACAGTTCCAACGTGCGTTGTTGCGCAGCCAGTTGGGGAGCATCAGGCGATGGTAGAGAAGTTTGGGTCTGACAGCCTTGCATTTGTCGTTAGGCTTGTCCTTCGACATTCTTGTTTTTCAGAAAGCAAATGAAACTGTCAAAGTCAAGCGCTTGGTTCTGGAGCGTTAGAGCAAGTGACTCTACAAACTCAGCCACGCGAATTTATACTATCTGATAACAAAACGATGGGAGTGACCCACTTGTGCGATGAGGTCAAGGTAAAGCGCTTTCGGAAGGTATTAATGAAGAATTGGTCAAGTACAACACGATTTTGCTGGCCGTGATGAGTGGGCGAGTGAGTAACCACTGCCCTGAAACAATAAATGCAAATTCGAATTCAAGTACATCGATGTCGATATTAATGCATGTCAATCATGTGCAAAATCATTGTATATGTTATACCCCGCCCATAGCAAAGTTGTTTTCTATGGATTTGATGCTCCGTCCCTCCGTAGCTATTAGTTATTAGTATAAATCTACTGGCGCTCTATCAGGACTGCTGTTCTCGTATTGGCTACGTTCCTCACTATCAACTCATCAATTAGATTATGTGCTCGTGATTTCTATCGCGTGATATAACACGTGATTGTTGAAGCGCAGCCCGATTCAATTATACCCGGAAGGGGGTACTCCCATTTTAAAAGGACGGGGGTGCTCGTCCTACCATTAGCGGTTTTCGTACCTCTTGGGGTGTTCAGCCTCAAAAGGTCCACAGCGGGAGCTTCTGCCTGATCTTTTAGGGTATTGAGCCGAAAAAAATGTAACTGGAGATAGTGTGTTGTTTTAGAATCGGTGCCTCATAGGAGCGAAAACATTTCCAAGCCGCACCCGCAAAACAGGATCTTGGTAGCTCTGAGGGGTTCTTTTCGAACTTTTCGACGAGCACCCCCGTTCTTTTTATATGGGAGTCCCCCCTGGCGACTATCACGTCATAATGAATCTCGACCTCATAATCTAAGTGTTAATCAGTCAATAAAAGCTACTTAAGATTGCTGCCGGGCTGATCGGTAGCAGTGATTGTTAATTGGCAGTGAGCCTTAGCCTCCAACTCAGACGATCTCATCACGCACCTTGAGATTAATCAATCAAGCATTTCAAGTCGCCTTCTAGACCAGTCTAGCAAGTGTTCTCAACTGTTCCGGAATGAAATTAAATGACAAAGCGGTGGCGGGGGGTTCTAATTCTGGGAACAAACATCAGAATGATCAATGTTGT